GGAGCAGCCTGAGAGCTTCAGCTCACCAACGCTGAGAAGCTTCACTCCTCTCATTGAAGTGGACATCAGTGGAGAACCCATCCTCAAACATCCTCAGAGGCCCCGACAGTGAACAGGATACAAAGTTTTTTGCATTATAGAATGGAACTCATTATTATTATTATTATTATTATTATTATTATTATTAATTAATTTATTTATTTATTTTATGATTGTTGTTGTTTTTAGGTTAGTTTGAACGGTATCACATTATTTGGATAGCCCACTGTAGATGCTTTGTAGATGCTTTCCCTGCAACTAAATCCTAATTCTAACCCCAACACTGTTGAGAAACGATGAGTTTCATCAGATAATTTTAACATGTCTGTCCACTGGGGGCTCTCTAAATAAAGTAGAACCAGTTCAGATGGAGGAGGTTACACATGTTATTTTGGGTACTGAATGTGATGCACTGATGTTGCCTTGTTTACTTTTAGTTTTACAGATTTGAAGCACCTCAAGGACCCGGATTGAAACTGACAGACTGACTGATTGCCGGACAGATGGACTAACAGAATGACTGACTGATTCACTCACATGTAGTTAAAGAGACACTACTAGAACTCAAGTAGCTTTAGGTGCTTCCTAAGTGCTGCTTTACATTAATTACACTGTGTTCTTGTTTATATAAAAACTAAATTTGTTGCAGATAAATGTATAAAATAATATAATGCTTATATTGCTGTGCAGTTTTATATTATTTGTAGCTGTAAAAAATAGATTTGAATTTGGTTTGATTTATACTATTATAATTTAGCAGTAGACAGATAACAGTTAGTATTAGCAGCATGTACAGGGCAATATCACCAATTTCAATTTTTTTCTTTTAATCATTAATCACTACATTAATCACCAGAGGAGGATGGGTTCCCCTTTTGAGTCTTGGTTCCTCTCAAGGTTTCTTCCTCTTGTTCTGAGGGAGTTTTTTCTTGCCACTGTAGCCGCTGGCTTGCTCATCTGGGGCTCGGACACGGAAGTAAATAAATAACAAAATAAATGTGATTAGTAGAACCTTAGATGCCTAAGAGTTTATCTGTATAGAAATGAAACAGAACATGATAAAGTAACAACATGTCAAATCACATATTCTCTCATAGTCACTGCACTGAAACTGATGCAGTGAGATTAGCTTTAACTAATAATGCTAATAAAGCTGACCAGTCCGTGTGGACGGTCATCAAAGCGACCTTCTGAAGGTCTCATCATTCTTTACCAGGTATTTTTCTTTATTTTGGTCGAGAGCAAATATATATCATATTCTGTGATTTTTGAAGAGTTCTGTTATATAAAGTTTCAACTTAACGTACTGTAACTTTTGACTGAATATTACGCCTTTATAGAAAACTTTTGTCCAATAAATTGTACACATTATGAATCTGATTTTAATACTTCATTGAAGTAAAGCAGAATTATGAAGTAGATTAAGGAACATGTTTCTACATTTACAGTGAAGCTGGTATTCACTACACTATCTAACCATCACTGGTAGAAGCCTTATTCTCACCATAAAGCAAGAAAGACTTCTCAGCTCCATCTTGTGGTCAAATAAAACAATGCATGTGGGTTTCTTATTATTTACCAATGAGTTTAATAGATGTAAATCTAAAGTATTATTCTTTTGGCCTCAGCGTATTAATACTTTTTTCACCTAGTTATTAGATTCAAATTAACATGAAGTAGAAACTCTATCAAAACAGTCTTTATCTCATCTTCTGTTCCAGCACTGTCATTAACCAGTGAAGACATTTTAATCCACTCACCAACATGCAGACAAAAAGAGGGAGACACTGCATTCATTTCCACACACTGACAACTGAATATCATTCAATACACAATACATCATTATTTCAGACAGTTTGTTTACTTTCCTTTTTCAGTGCTGTCGTTCTTCAGAGTGTGGACTCAGATAAAGAGGGAGGTCAAAAGTGCTGTTACTGATATTTAGATATACAGTCATATGAAAACCTGGATTCATAACTGGAAGATAAGCTGTCAGCAAAGACAGTAATATATGTCAGTTTCAGTGCAGTAAACTAAGCATGATGTCTACATCAACAGAAATGTTCAGGGTTTTTTTCAGATAAACAAAAAGCAAAGACAAATTTTGATACCCCCTCCCCTCCAAACACACACACACACCTCCAACTGTGCAGAACACTGCATTATCATGTGAGGTTTGTGTTTGTACAACAGTCTAAATCTAAATCTAAAAGCATCTCTTTGCATATATGGTTAATTATAATTGATCAAATATTCTGTTTAGCTCTGCAGATTTAAATATATAAATAATAAAATAAATAACAATATCTTTATTTTTTCTGGAAAAAAAAATTAATTCTGGGCAAGTTCATTATTAACAACATTTAAAATCCACTTAAATACACAGAAATTGTGTTTGAAGATATGCAGAAGGGTGTTTCTTGTAGAGGATAATGTATTTCAGATTTTTTTATTGGTTATTAAGTTGTATGTATACCAGTGATTATAGTGAATATAACCCAGGTGAAGTAAAGGTAAATTCTGAGTTTTATCTGCGTCCCAGAAAATAAACACATTTTATAAGGTCAAATGAAATAGAAAAAAATTCCATACCAGGGAATCTGTAGTGAATCCTGAGTAAAGAGTAAGGAAATGAATGGATTCCTATGGAACTTTTGTGCAAAGATCATAATCTGTAAATCATTCTTTTATTTAAATTTGCACTCATTTTTGGAATAAAGAACAGAATTGAATATTTCAACACTGCTGTCATAATTTTGAGCACTCTTGAACTCCAGTTATAGGACTTTATGACAGTGCCTCAGGTACTCGGCACTCGGCAGCAGTAACGCCAACCAGTCGGCACTCAGCAGCGCTAATGCCAACCAATCAGCACTCAGTTTAGAAATAGGACTTTTATTACTTTCACATAGTGTAGTAATATAAACTGTGACCCGGTGTATTTTTACTGGATCAGTGAGCTACAGCTCTTCAGGCTGAGCACGAGCTCATGAAGGTTTTACTGTTTCGGCCTCCCAGCTGAAATGGAGATTCTGATTGGTTCTGTGGCTTAGTTTGACTCTCTGTTCATGTCTCTATCACAATGTGCAGTTTAGAAAGCAGAGATTTTCTTTTTGATGAAAGTGTCCTTAACTCATTGAAAAAGTGGTGGGTTGTCGCCCCAGTACTTTGAAAAGTGGTGGGCCAAATGCCCACCTTGCTTCCTTCATCCACCTGCTCCACATAATGAACCTCTTCCCAAGTCCCTGATAGGCTGGATCAGAAGTATTAGCATTAAGTAAGGGGCGGGACTTAAGGGACTTATTGGAAAAAGGTTGGACCTAAACTTTGCAGGTAGGTAGCTCTCCAGGACCAGGATTGGAGACCACTGATATGGAGAGAAGCTAAAAAAAAGAAAGAAGAAAAACAACCCTTCCACGTGGTGAGTGCCTCTGTGTCCCACTCTTCCTCTAGACACAATAAAGGCATTTAGTGTGTTTTGAATGCTGCTTTAAACTTCAGTGATCTCACTGCTGCCACCCAGTGAAGTAATCATGTTATTACACCTGCACTGATTTTCAAAGTGTACTAAGTTCTTTTCTCAATGTAGTACAGTTTTCTGTGCTTTTTGAAAGACACCCATGATAAATATAAAAGTAACACCTTAAGTCTTTGCATAGTGTGTTTTACCCTGTCATTTACTCTTCTGGGAACAACAGATCATTTTCTAGATATTAGATAACTGTCCTTTGCCCTCCAAACAGAGGTTTTTCAGAGGCACACTAGGAGAAACAAAAAATAAAAAAAAACAGCAGGATCGCTGCGCAAGCCACCAAAGAAACTCACAAATATATTTTCTTTGTTAAGAAATTATAACCATTGTATTATCTTAATAGTTTAATGTCATTTTGATAACAAGCATTAAAAATTGCTAGTATGTTGATGTCTTGGTAGCTATGAGGCGGGTCTTGAGATGGTCTGATTGGCTCAGTCCCAGATGCTGACAGTCTAGTAGGGACGATTTTCTGTAGTACAGCACACATTTTTTGCTGTAAACTGTATACTGTACTGTATACTACTATGAAGAGTAGCATACAGTTTGCAGTATAAAGTAGTGCAGAATGCAGTATGTAGTATAGCAGTATGCCATTTTAAATGCACCCAAACTAAAACAATGGGCAGGTTTGGGGATTAAAAAGCAGACTCATAATGTTCCAGTGAGAAGGGTCCTGTGATTTTCAGCTACAGCTTTATATGATCGAGCAATTTGTTTTGTCTTAATTTAACTTAAAAAAATCCCAAAAAAACAGCCAAAAAAATTTATAGAAAGCAGCTTTTCAAAGCGAGGCTTCCAATGTTCAACAAAAAAGGGCCGGCTCACGAACTACACATTACTAGTGGATTGCTCCACAATGGCAGAGCACAGGAGCTTCTCAGAAATGACAACAGTCACAAAGCCCTGCAGCCCATAGCCACACAGTCATTGCACCATCCTGACACTTCGTAAAGGCTGTTCCTTTTTCTAAGTGCTGTTGCTCCACTCAGTGCCACACACTGCACTACAGAGAAAAGTTCCAGACCATAGATGACACAAGTACACCCAGTACTCCACACACATCAGTTAATCATATTTATTTTGCTTTATTTAGCTTCTTGTCCTCAGGATCAATACTTGGATAGTGCAGCTATGCTGTACCAGCACCTCCCATTTTTACCTGCATAAGAACTGTGCAAGAACTTATTCAGTTGTTTTTTTGTGCAAGAGATTTTTCAGTTGTTTTTTCATAGTGGCTACGGACTCCTCCCACTATTCCTCATGTTCCTGCTTCGGCAAAGCATTGTGGACTATGTAGTTTTAGCATACGAATACTAGTGCATACAAGTTTTGCATCATTTTCGTGTCTGAACACAGTGAAAAAGGAAGGAAATATAGTAAGACATTCATGAAGAAACATGAAAACACACACACCCCACTTGCACGTTCTCTTCCTGCAATTGACAGAAGTGTGAGACAGATCACAATGAAAGGTAGGTAAAATTCTCTTGTCCCTCTGCTTTTTCTGATCACAAAGTGATCTATGTGCTTCCTTAAGTGATTGCAGCAGTAAAGCTGACTGCTTGGACTTGTGCTGTTGTTCTAGGGCCTTAACTTTATTTTCTAGTTCATTTTGTTTAGCTTCTTTTTTCTTATTTCTAGCACAGGCAAAGGCTATAATACGGTCCCTTAAATAGGCCTTCACACAGTCCCAGAGGGTAAATGGTGAGGTTTATGGGTTAACATCTTAAAATCCAAATAGGTTCTAAATTACCCTTCTACGAATTCAATGAATCTGGGATCATTAAGAAAAGACGTATTTAGTCTCCAGTGTCTAGCACCAGCTTTCCATTCCAGGGTAATTTGTAGAATCTTGCAATAAATTATTCTGTAGGCCTCACATTTAGTTGTGAGAAAAAAATCAATACGTGAATAGGATGAATGTCCATCAAAGTAATCTCAGCCATTGTGGAACACGTATCAAGTGCTTTAAGACTTCACTCGTCTTACTATAGGAAGTTGACAATGACGGGAACTTCTCTGCTGCCTGGCGCATAACACAATTAGAATCACCTCCTATTAAAGGAACACCTGCTGCTTTGTCTAGAATAAGACTTTTCTGATAAATTCAGGGTGATCTTCAGTAGATGCACATAGGTTACATAGAGATACACTGACAACATCTATAACTCCATTCACTAATATATACCTGCTTTCTAAATCTTTGTAAGATGAAGTGGCCAAGAAAGTCAACATTCTGTTCATTAAAATTGCTACACCTCTTTTCCTTCCTGGGCTATGAGAGGAGAAGAAAACTGTATTTGCCCAATTTCTCTTGTTCCTTATTTGACATGAGTTTCTTGGAGGAATGCTACACTACATTTAAGATGTTTTAGCTGAGTGAGAATTTTCTTTTTCTTAATGGGACTATGTAGGCCATTAGCATTATAGCTAACTACTTTTAGCAGTCCCATTATACCTTTGAAGTTTGTGAGGAACTAAATTCCTGAGGTATATGTGCTTTTTGGGAGGGGGTTCAGGATTGGGGGGGGTTAATAACACGTGCACAATGTAAAACTTCGAACAAGTAAGGCCATAACTGCACACATGACTGCTAAGCTGACTGCTGATCCAGTGGTGTCACAGTTGAACATCTCAGTACAGAACAAAAAAAGAACATCCTGAACAATATGAAACATGTTTTTTTGTGCTTTGATGTAACACTTTTTTATCGAAAAAAGGGGACAGGAAAAAAAAAAAAACAAAACAAAAGAAGAAGACGAAAAGGGGAACCTCCAGGCTACTATAAAGCCTGGGCCTTCAGTGTTTGGTGTAATTAGCTGATAGGACAGAGAGGATGTCCTTGCTGGCTACCGTTGGCCTTGTAGAGTCCGTCTTCTGGCCCACACGTCCGTCCAGTTTAAAGATAAATGTAGAATTAAACGTAAGGTTAATGAAAAGTAACTGAAAACTGTCTTGCAACCCTGTTAATGGGGTGTGTTTAGTACTACCAAACTGAATCGCCCCCAGTGTCCAATGAGTGTAACGGCATAGTTTGTTGGTAAAGCTTTAAAAAAAAATTCAAGTCTGTCATTAGTTAAGAAACACTGTGCATTGCTTCTGTTTCTCACCAGTTTAGTGCTTGTCTTTTAAGTCCCCGAGGAGGCTTTTCATATCTTGGATAGTCCTGCGTTCCACTTGAGCACATTTGTTTTTCGTAAATGTGGTGGCCCATCCCGAGAGATGGAGCCCTCACTCTCTCTTTGACTCCATACAGTGTCACATCATCTCTATCTCTAACTTCCATCTGCATATCTCGCTGCATGAGATAGGAGAGCAGCCGCGCCGTCCAGTTTTGCATGTCCTCGATGGTCCTCACTCGGCCCTCCACCTCTGAAATGCGGCCTGAGAGGCCACGTACTGTTTGGTCGAGCCCCGCAACACTGTCCGATTTCTTTACTTAGTTTTCTTATCTCAGTGATGAGGACATTCATGTCTGTCGCTTGCTCAAGTGTTTGCGGTGTTGTGCTATCCTCTTCAAAATATTTTGACTTTTCATCAGATGCTTTCTGTTTCTCTTTCTTTCTTATACTGTGACTGTGTTTATTTGTACTCTTCTTACATGGTTTTTATTAGGAGGCAGCCATTTGGTGGGTGACATCACCGGATCCCCCTTATTTCTGTTCTGATAGATATTTCATAAATAAATATTTCTCTCAGCGTTTCTTCCTCCTGATCTTAAGGAGTTAAAGCTGCTTTATGCAAATGCTTCAAATTACATTTTGAATTGAATATAATTCTCTTGTATAATTCTTTCAGTTTTGTTAGCTTTAAGTTTCACTTAATTCATTACTGCACTTTACAGCCACACAGACTGAAATGAACATTAAACACAATCTTATATCTTTATATAATTAACACATTCTGAATGAGTGAATCTCTAAAGGAGATTTCGAACATTGTGTGTGTGTCTGAAGGCTCTTTGTGTCAGACTCCACTGTATGGACCATAAAGCACCTCCCACTACTGTGAGCAAAGCATTATGGCTCATGTAGTTTTTGTGGAAGATTTTAAACTAGACACGTTTATTATCACTACTGTATTAGTGTATTTAATCTGTATATCTGTCTGCATGTTCAGCCATTTGAGTTTTATTCTTACTAATCAGACTAAAATGGGTAACTGTTAAAACATTAAATAAATAAATGACAAATATAAAGTGCTGTTAGGATGGCATTTCATTTCAACTGTGAGAGCAGAAAAAAGAGAAGGAAAACCGTGTTGATAAAACCCCCATCTTAAGCACAATGTTTACTCATCACACCCTCACACTGTTTCCACACTCTGCACTGTCCACTGAGTTACACAGCTGTGAAAGGTCTTTACTGGAGACAGTAAGTAGTAAAGATTTTCTCTCTCTGATCTATAAATATATTACTATAATTATGAGCTCTGAATGTGTCATCACGCATCACTCTGCTGTGTATTTCAGGTAGGATTATTCTGCTTCTGATGAACAGCTGTGATTATAACAGGAATTATCCTGCTATAATATTCTTTATTGATAAATTTAGATACTGACTATTAAAGAGTCACTCCAGTCAAAATGAGGCGGCCATAATTCCAGGTGACCACTTGCAGCTGTGTGGAGTACGGCTCCCAGACACCCTCACCTTTGAAATGCTTATCACACTTCAAAAGTAAGGGCACGTATGAATCATACTACACGCAGCTGCAAGTGATCGCCTGACATTATGGCTGCCTTCTGTTTCTCCGCTGGCTCAGGTTTTCAACATCGCCGCAGTGTCCCCTTTTCCTGCACCACCAGCACCAGTTGCTCCACTGTGACTTACTCAGGGCCTGCTTGGTACTCCATCTCCTCCTCAAGCTGCTTCACTGCATTGAACTGTGTTGCTTGCCATGGTGTTTTCTTGCTGAGGATGAGTTCTGCCCTCTCTGCCTCGTCAACGACTGCTTAAAGGCTCACCGGTGCAGTGAGCTGAGTGTGTCTGTCCAACCATTGTACTCAGGTCCTCCACTGGCATGCTTATATGCTCTCCCTTCAGCCTCCATCTAAATCAGCCTCCAATCAGCGCTGTTCAGTTCCAAGTTCAGTGGGTGAGTTTGAGCAGGGAAATGACCAAATTGCCAGACACTGGCCCTCCAGGACTGTAATGAAATACTCTAGACTATTTGCAAACAAGTGTGGGTGCGAGTGGCAGTGCTAGTCCCCTTAAAAGCCCAAACTATCTGACTATGCCTCTCTTAATTAAGGGATGAGAGCAACCTATGAGTTAAAATTATATGACGAATGGACTGTTATACACTAACACCATTTACTGTTTTCCCCACAAGGTCTGTTCAAATAAATGAACATCAGATGGCAGATGTACAATAAAAACACTTTAATAAACTGTTTGATAAATAAAAAAAAACTAAAATAAAAGCTTAATGGCAATCAGCTTCCATCATTATGTCTTAAATATACTTATATGGCTAATACAACCTTCAATGATTCCCAAACGTTTAAGGATTACCCACTGGGTTTAAAGCAAATCACTCCACCTCAACTGACACACAAAAAGAAAACACAAACAACCAGTAAATAAACCACAACAAAATAAAAGCACCAACCCTCAATCCCAACGCAAGACTCACTCAATATACCAATGGGTTTTAACCGTCCCAACAATGGAAATGCTAGGTTGCAATGTTGAAGACTCTAATTTTATAATTCTAATTTAAAAGACAAAGTTAAAACATTACAAAGCCATTATTTAAATACCAACAGTAATAGCAGACCAAACTAAACAAAAAAAGAAATTACAGAACAGCAACTGGTCAGGCAAAATAATAATAAAAATAATAATAATAAATTTAACTTATAATAATAATAATAAAAATAATAATAATAAAAAAAATCAAACACAAACAAGTGGCTAGTCCTTAGCTACATACACGCTCCTGTTAAAAAGGAGAAAGAAAGAACTATTAGAACCTCCATTCAGGCTACCAACTTGGGCAACTGCCTCTGACACTACACTACACTACAGTTCAGTACATCTCATACCTGAGTAGTTTAACTGCCCCTATATCAGCAGCAGCTATTTACCACCTGGATACCCTCCCAGCATCCCAGGAGCACAATAAACCGTCATGGAGATTCTAAAATGAACATTACGTTACATAAATAAATGAAAATATAGCTGCAAGAAGCAATGAGCGGGTTCAAGCATGCAACAGCAGTATGGGCCCTTCTGCAGGTTTAGCCCATTAGGCCTAAAAAGGCCTCAAACTTTATGTTTAGCCCATTAGGCCTAAAAAGGCCTCAAGCTTTTGGTCTAGCCCATTAGGCCCAAAAAGGCCTCAAGCTGTGGGTCTTATTTATAGGCAGAGTGAATAGAACTGAAAGGAAGTCAGTTCATCAAAAGGCCTTCAGTTGCCATAAACAACAATCAGAGGTCTTTAAACACATTATAGGTTTACATTCATACCTGTCAAAACTATATGACTGATGGCAGCATTTCTCACGTAGTAGCACCGGCACAGTGGATTGGTTCTATATTTAAGCCATTGATTTGATGTAGGCCATAATGAGGCCCAATGCACTCATCAGAAGCCCTATTGGTGTGAGGAGCTCAGTGAAAGTTGGTCAGAATTAGTGAAAAGGCCACAATATGGTTTCATTCTTGATCAGGGACCATATCCAAAGAGGTTCACCAAGTTTTGGTCAGAATGACCTTTTGACCGTTGTATAATAAGTCTTTCTATAGTGAAATCTTTGAATGAATAAGCCAAAAAAAAAGACAAGCAGTGCAATTTTTGACATAACATGTAATTAGAAAGTTGTTCATGAGAGTGAACTGAGTCACATGGCTCCATTTGTTTATCTGTCAACCTTGTAATAACATTGTAATAGCATTTTAGTTGATTTTTAAATTTTTTGAGTGCTGAAGTGCCCCTTAAAGGTCAATCTGGACCAAAATAGGGCAAGACCATTAGTCCTAATTTGTAAAATTATTGCAAGTTTGGAGATAATCTGACCAATGCCTGTTGAGTTATAGCAAATCAAGCTAGCAATGCCATGGTTGAAGTAATTAATTGATTGATTGTCAATACACTCAGCGGAACAGTCAAAATGTTTTTGATAACTATTGAGCATCAGTGTCTTCTGAATCTTAAGATACTAATTTGATGATAATTGGCCAAAAATTCAGACTAGTTCGCAAGAATAGGTTTTTCACAATATGCAAATTAGCTCAAAAACTAGGGGGGTGGGGCTAAAAGTGACTGGGGGTGCACTTGTTCAGCAAGTCCCAAGGAATCAGCAGAAAAAGAAGAGAATTTGGTCTCCATCTCACTTTGATCAAAAGTTACAGCCAAAAATATGAATAAAGTTGAAAAAGATGAAAAGTTGAAACATAGGACTAAAGTAAAGTATGAGCTCAGTGGAAGTGGGTCAGAATTAGTGAAAAGGCCTCAATATGGTATGATTCTTGATCAGGAACCATATCCAAAGATGTTTACACAGTTTTGGTCAGATTGACCTTTTGACCTTTGTATAAAAAGCCTTTGTATAATTTAGTATTTGAATGATTAAGCCAAAATACCAAACAGTACAATTTCTGACATAACATGTAATTAGAAAGTTATTCCCTTAAGTGAACAGAGTCACATGGCACCAATAGTTTATCTGTCAACTTTATAATAACATTGTAATAGCATTTTAATTATTTAATTTATTTAATTTAATTTAATTGATTTTTAAGTGTTTTTGAGTGCTAAAGTGCCCCCTAAAGGCCAATCTGGACTACAACTGGCATACTCCATTACAGTCTCGATTTGTATAAATATTCAAAGGTTGGAGATGATCTGACCAATGGCTGTTGAGTTATAGCAAATCAAGCTAGCAATGCAATGGCCGTAGCATTTAATTGATTATTGCATACCACAGTGAGTAAAAAACTCATTTTTTAAATAATTATTTACCTACAGATGGCAAAATTATTTGACATAATGTACTACAATGGATTCATATTGGTTTTGAGTCAAACCTGTAATAATATAGTAATGACATGTAATAATTACTTTATTTTTATGAATAGCAATCTTTTAGAAAATCTTTTGAAACTTGATTATGTTAGGAGGTGGGTACATGTAGACATCATTCAAGTTTCATGATGATTGGTCAATGTTAAGTCTGTAAAAGGCCTGCTAAATGCTGATTGGCCGATGGCGACCACAAATTTTGATGTACCAAATTGTCCTTATAGTACCACTTATAGTATGGCCATTAGATGCTACAGGCAAAGTTTCAGCTTAATCGGATGTGCGGATGCTGGGAAACAGCCAAGTAGAATTAACTCCGCCCCCTAATTAGATATGCGCATAAAAATCGAATGGCCACCTCAGAATCTTCTGCCGAATTTGTCTGTCAAGTTTGAATTTTTTTGGCTAAAGGATTTTCGAGTTACAGAATTTTAAATTAATTCTGAATTAATTTGAATTTATCCAGAAGCGTTCATTTGCATATGGCAGCCATGTTGTATGGAAAACTTAAAATGTTTTTGATAATTATTGACCTTCAGGATCTTCTGAATTTTTTGACATGAGGATTGGGCAAAAACTGTAGGACTAGTTCGCAAAAGTAGGTTTCGCATATTATGCAAATTAGCTCAAAATCTAAGTGGGCGGAGCTAAATGGTCCCAATTGCAAAGTTGTCTGTTTGGACCCATAGAACCAGGAAAAAAATGTCTCTTGTCTTGGAAAAATCTGGTTTAGGAATTATTAGGCAAAACTAATTTTTCTGCGCTATAGCGCCCCCTGTGGCCGACTGGGCTGATTCCGTGCACTTGTGTAGCGGGAAGGACTACTACCTATTGACCAAGTTTGATGTCTCTAGGACTTACGGTTTGGGCTGTGCGTTCCGTTTCAGGGAAGAAAAATAATAAGAAAAACTTTCCAATAGGGTTCAATGCATTGCATGCTTGAACCCTAATAACTAGCCAAGTAGAAATAAACTAAAGAAACCAACCCTTAACATACAATAAAATCAGCAGCAGCACTGGTCACATAAAACCTATTATGGGCACCCAGAAGCTACAATTTATAGCTTATAAAATACTCTTTATTTTAAATAAAGTAAACTAAAATTAACCACCTAAAAGCATAAAAAGCTTACTTATTTGAGAACAGGTTTCAAGCATTTACACTGGAAACGACACTGGTCATCCAAGGCCTTTACAGGCCTCCCACTTGCTCTAGTTAGCAAAATGGCATGAAACATCTCATGATACTAAAAAATAAACTAGACAAGTAACAGTGCTACTCAAACTCACCACGTTTCCCCCATGCACGCGCACGCGCAAGCCACGAGCTACGAGCTCAACTGAGCCACAGGTGAGCTTAATAAAGAAGCAATTAAGTAGCGTTAGGTTGTAAGAGCTACCGTGCCGCCAGGTCCTAATGTCCCTCGGTTAGCTGTAGTACTGCCATTTCTTACTGCCCTTGTATTCGCCACGGCTGCTGGGTCCTAGTGCCCCACAGTTTATACCCTCCTAGTCCTGTTAGCTCCTACCCGTTACACAAGCTTTAGAAAAAACACACAAAAGCAACAGTAGCAAGTGATTAATAACTGTACTGTTTTATGATCTGTTCAAGCTTCTCATTTTTTAAATGAAATATTTTCTCCTTTAATGTTTGTGTTTTAAACTACACAAATCTCCACATAAACTACTTTACACTGTTTTAAAACTGAGTTCTGTTTCTTTAATGGTTTGTATAATTAATCTACAGATCTTTATCATCAGTGCTTGTTTGTGTGTTTTAAATTGAGCTCTCTTCCTCTGTGGTTTTCATGCTCTTGTGTTTCCTGTAGCAACAGCAGCAGCATTAACACCCCTGCTGAACTGTCCAGCTAAGATCAGTAAGATGATGGTCAATGTGGTTGACAAGCTTAATATCCAGTTGGACTAAGCAAACAAAAAAACCTTAACATGTTTAATCAGCTTCAGCTGGTCAAGCTATTTTTCAGACATTCAGCTGTTTTTTGACATTCTCACACTATGACAACCTAGTAAATCAAATACTTCTACAGTGTCCCAACATTTAAAAACACAGGCTAATGACATTAAAAGAAAAAGAAAAGTTCTTACTGACATCTGTTGTGACGTTTATATCAAACCCAAACTACAAGGTTTAAAACAAAGAGACAGAGGAAACAAAGCACAGGGCAAACACAACCACTACATGTGACAAAGTAACATATGTGTAGACTAGACAGCCATGACTGAAACAAAGCGCTTGATATAGGTTACAAACAATAGTGAACACCTGAGAGAGGGAGGAGACAGGAACTACAAACAGATGACAATCCGAATAGGGAAGGAGGGGAAAAGTGCGGAGCGAATAAAACAAAACAAAAAAAAAAGCACATGGCAAAAAGGAACATGGTCACAACACAGGGAAAGAAACAGGCACAATCAGACGGGGAAACTGTGACAGTGTGTGTTCTTGAATAAAGGAAGAGACCTTAATCTGAAACAGGGAGGTGCCATAATCACGTCTTCCGGGTCTCTGCTGCTCATTACAGCTTGTAAGTGTGAGGAGAGCAGTGAATGAGTCTCTTACCTCTCAGAGCTAAAACAGTGAGACATTTACTTCAGTCAGGATTCATTCCTTCATACTTTCCTAGTAAATGTTTGCCTTTTTCTGTATTGTTATCTTCTAGACCTGCTGCCATGACTTGCTTAACATCAGGAAATACCACAGCAGCAGTGACCCTCATATTACTGACAGGTAAACTTTTACATTCTTATATCCATTTGTGTGAACATAAAGCTGTAGATACAAACTCTTCATAAAATTCATGTTATAAACATGAATCGATAGAACAGCACTATTCAGTTCCACGTTCAGTGGGTGTGTTTGAGCAGGAAAATGACCAAACCACTGGACACTGACCCTCCAGGACTGAAGCTTCTTATATTTAAATGATATATTTTCTCCTGTAATGTTTGTGTTTTAAACTGAAGAAATCTCCACATAAACTACTTTAATCTATTTTAAAACTAAGTTCTGAGGTTTGTATAATTAATCTACAGATCTCCATCATCAGTGTTTGTTTGTGTATATTTTAAACTGTGGCCACTTCCTCTGTGGTTTTCACATAACCAGCCAACTTGTATATAAATACATGACCTTGTGTTTCTTGTAGCAACAGCAGCAGCATTAACACCCCTGCTGAACTGTCCAGCTAAGATCAGCTTTTTCTGCTAATTGGTTTCAGATGGTCTAAGCTGGTCTTTGGTCAGTGTGGTTGACAAGCTGAATTTCCATCTGGAAAAAAAAGTAAAATAAAAAACAAAGATATCAAAAGGCTCTAAGTATTTACATGACATTCCTTTTTCAGGGAACAATTAATTGGTTACCAACTTACAACTGTTCAGTGGAAGTAAATTAGGCTTTGAAATTCATGCAAACAGTTGCTACAGGTGTCCCAGCCTCTGTTGATTACTTACAAACCTTATGTCTGGAGAACAGCAGTGCTGGAACAGACTGAATTATTACACCCTCTAGGGCAGTATTTGGACACTGTTATAACCCTTTAAGGTGCCCCAGACAACAAATGTACACTGCGCCTGATTAGGGCCAAATGTAGCGCTGCATCCGGTCCGGATCCGCAAAGCAGAGCTGGCCCGGTGTCTTTTTGCACAACGGCCCAATACCGGAACTGATCTGTTTTACGGATCTGCACCAAAACAGATTAAAAACCGGCCCAGATGAGCAAAGAACAGCATTACATCTGGCCCTGAATTGGTGCAGGTCTGAATATTATCTTCGTATCTGGCCCAAATGTGGCACAGACCCAGTTCAGAAGGTCCAAGCTCAAGCTGATATTAGCAACTGTCTCTGGAATGGATCCGGCCCTGACTTGTTGCATCTGCACCGGATCCGTTCCAGAGTCAACAACAGCTCCATATCCCACATAATTTTTTACAAATCATTAATAATGAATGTTTTCAAAAAACGGTAAATTCAAAAAGGGAAACATAAAACCAAATACCTCAAAAAAAGGTTTATTGAATGTCATTATGTTTTCAAGACAGCATTTTTTTGAAAAATGAATTCAAACAAGAAAAAATACAATGCCACTACTGAGGTGTAGACTTATCAGCAAAAAATCCTGCCATTAAAGAAGCAATAATTAGCTGCTTTGTTTTCAATTGTAATAAACTGACATAAAAAACAGACTTTTCAACACTGATAGAGACTGCTAAACTCTGCTCATGTCATCACAATAATACAGGTTAACTGGCAATTTGAACACAAAATACTACCATGCTGAGTTTTACAATGTCAAATTAAGAAGTGTGACCATTGAGATGTGACAATTGTATCAGTGAAGCACAGTTCAACTAAAATGAATAGGGAGTATAAAACAATACAATATAAAATACTACAATATAAAGTAATACCAGCCGATATTGTTAAGTGTTAACATAATTTCCAGCCTCTTAACAATCATTACTGGTATCAGTCACAGTTTTCATATTGGTTGGGCTCTAATCCATGTTCTGGAATTCAAATCACTTAAATTCTTACAGTTTATCACTGCTGCGGTCAACAGCTGAACGGTGAACTGAATGGTAACGATCTTTACAACCTTTTTTCCAAGCTCTCATTGAGGAAGCCCATTATTTACAGTTACCATCTAGTACCTGCTTCAGCCAACCCTACATTAAACTGAACCAAGTGTGCTGCTGATGAAGTTGAACAAATCCATGCAATGACTGGTGCTGCAGCAAGAAAGCAGGGAAAAAAAACAAAAAAAAAAACACAATGTTCTTAACTGTTTTCGTCTATCCAACATATTAATAACTTTATTTAAAACAGGGCTGTCACTATCGATTATTTTAGTAATTGAATAATCTAGCGATTTCTCCTAGATTTAATCTAGATTTTTTTATGTACACTGAAATTGTAATACCCATTACAATTACAACACTGAAAATACATGATAAGAATGAGTCCACTGCCAGAGGAGTACTGGCACTACTGTCCCATTAAGAGTCCGACCAAGCCATTGGTTGGCCCAAATCAGCCAATATTTGCAGCCCACAGTTTTATTGGGGTCATGACGTTTCAAAGGGTGGGTGAAACCTTAGAAGAAGAATGTTCACCCTATAGCAGACGAAGGAGGAAGTTGGATATAAAGAAGTGGTGAAAGAGGTTGGTTACAGAGGAAAACAACAGAGGCCAGTCTAGATAAAGTGGCTAAAAAAAGGGCGTGAAAGAGGCTGGCCCTGGCGGAGAGATGTAGAAGGCTGACCCTTGCAGACAGGTGTAGGAGGCTTGCCCTGGCAGAGAGGTGTAGGGGGCTGACCCTTGTGGACAGGTGTAGGAAGCTGGCCCAGCGGGGGGGGTGTAGGAGGCTGGCCCTGGCGGGGAGGTGTAGGAGGCTGGCCCTGGCAGGGAGAGGTGTAGGAGGCTGGCTGACCCTGGCGGGGAGAGGTGTAGGAGGCTGGCTGGCCCTGGCGGGGAGAGGTGTAGGAGGCTGGCCTTGGCGGAGAGGTGTAGGAGACTGGCCCTGGCGGAGAGGTGTAGGAGGCTGGCCCTGGCGGAGAGGTGTTGGAGGCTGGCCCTGGTGGGGAGAGGTATAGGAAGCTGGCCTTGGCAGAGAGTTGTAGGAGGCTGGCCATGGCGGAGAGGTGTAGGAGGCTGGCCCTGGCGGGGAGAGGTGTAGGAGGCTGGCCTTGGCGGGGAGAGGTGTAGGAGGCTGGCTGGCCCTGGCGGGAAGAGGTGTAGGAGGCTGGCTGGCCCTGGCGGGGAGAGGTGTAGGAGGCTGGCTGGCCCTGGCGGGGAGAGGTGTAGGAGGCTAGCTGGCTGGCCCTGGCAGGGAGAGGTGTAGGAGGCTAGCTGGTTGGCCCTGGCAGGGAGAGGTGTAGGAGGCTGGCTGTCCCTGGCGGGAAGAGGTGTAGGAGGCTGGCCCTGGCGGGGAGAGGTGTAGGAGGCTGGCCTTGGCGGAGAGGTGTAGGAGGCTGGCCCTGGCAGAGAGGTGTAGGAGGCTGGCCCTGGCAGAGAGGTGTAGGAGGCTGGCCCTGGCAGAGAGGTGTAGGAGGCTGGCTGGCCCTGGCGGAGAGGCAAAATTTGTTTTTAACTTAAAGACAATCAAAAAGAAGACTCTAACGGTAATTTGTTTTAACAGAACTAAAATTGTCTGTACTCCTCTACCATTAAGCTTATTTGATTGTCAAACTGAATAAAATATTTTAAAATAAATGTAATAATTTAAACAAATGTAATAATTTGTGATACCTGATCACATATGTGCAGATATCGAAAGTAATGATTAACTTACCTCAAAGTCAGCAGCAAACTTTATAGGTCAATATCAACGGATGACTGTGGACTGCTGAGCAGGAAAAAAGAAAGGGGAATGTTTTTTAATTAGGCGCGTCCATTTTATATATCGGGCCTTGGCCTGTGCCCGGTAAGTTACCGAGCTACCGCAGTAACAGCCCATAATGACGGTAAAACACGTTATTTTATTGATTTATTTAACGCAAACCACAGCGTGAAAGTTTGTACTGAACGCCATTCTTTTCCTGGTCTTTTTTCTATTCTTTTATTTTTGCCAAAAGGTTCAACTCACGCTATCACTGTGCTTGCCCGCGTCTGCTTCAGAGTCAGAGATTGTCTCAAAATTACACGACGAAACAAGTGAAGCTATTATTATTACTAGTAGTAGTTGCTTTAGTATCTCTGTAAATAGCTCTGCTGATGCATCTGAACATATCAGCAGATGTACATACAGAAACAATAATAATAATGCTAGTAATGATAGCATAAACACTTTCTTTTCGTAATTTTGAGACGAACCCTGAGTCTGAAGCGGCCGCGGGAGCAGCAGTGTGGGAGTTGAAGCTTCGTCTAATTAAAGATTAAGCAAAGGGAAACCCGTTCTGTTTCTGAGGGTTATTTTACACACTTTTAACCAAATACGAGGATTCTGTTACTGGTTTATGTTATTTCAGCAGTTTCAAGAAAAAAATAATTAAAAGTAACGTTAACCTACCATTTCTTTAAGTAAAAAATAGTAAAATCCGACACTACAAAAAAGCAGATAAAAAATAAGATGGTTAAACTAACATTACTGCTTGCACTGTCTAATACAGCTTAGCTAGTTAGGTAACGTTACCTGGCTAGCGCCACACACCACAATATAGGTTAACTTTAGATTCCAGCTAATGGATATTAAAGCTGCTCTTAGAACATTTTCACATTTTCCTATGAACGCTAACAGTTGCCTTTCACAGTACAACCCAGCTAAGCTGGCTAGTTACACAGCCGGGCGAGGGGGATGATATAAGATTAAGAGTATGTCGTTATTAAACATACATAAAGAGAAATCTCGAATGTTAATTTAGGTTGGAATTAGACATTTTGACTCACTACCTCAGCTAACATAGCTTAGCTAACTAACTAACCTAGCTATGTTAACTAGCACTGACGTCGTCCCCTCTAGCAACTCCACCACTCAGCTTATCTGCTTGTCAAACTGAATAACATATTAAAATTTAAAACATAAAATCCAAGATACCTGATCGTAATTCTAATAAATGTGCAAATAATTAAAATACAAAATACACCTTACCTCAAAAGCAGCAACAAGTTATACAGTCAAAGTCAACCGACGACTGCAGAGGACTGAGGGGGAAAAAGGGGAGGGGCAAATTTTAAATGAGGCGCAATTTTTAAATGAGGCGCGACTGTTTTAAAGATCCGGCCCCGATACGCTCTGAGCCCGCGGACCGGCAGTGTGTCCAGTGCTGTTAACAGTTACTTGGCCCAAATGTGGCACAAGTCCGCAATGCAGATGCGACTGCTAGGAGGACTTTGTGACGGGGTAATCCGGCCCAAACATGCTTGCTGGGGCAGGTCTTTCCTGACAAAGAAAGCCAGAGTGACAGTGAGTACAGTTTCCCGCACCATCCAAAGGCACTTGAAACTGGAGGAAACTCTGACAGGAAGAGGTCTGACAGCTCAAAGCCCCGACAGAGTCAGAAGACGAGTCTCAGTTTCAACTGTGAATAGAAGACTTTGAGCAGCAGGTTTGACTGGTTGAGTAACAGTAAGAGAGCCATTGCTAAGATGATCAAATAAGAAGAAGAGGCTTTCCTGGGTCCTGCAGCACCACCAGAACTACTGAAGACTGGAAGGTCTGATGGACTGATGAATCAAAACTTGATGTCTTTAGTTTATCATACTGGGATTTTGTTTGGAGTTGAGTCGAAAGGATGGTTCCTCACCAACTATCAAACATAGAGGAGCGAGTGTGATAGTCTGGGGCTCTTTTGCTGGATCGAGAGTTGATGACTTGCACAGAATGACTGTCATCCTGAAACAAAAATGACAAGCTAGATGATGATAGGAATGTTTCAGAAACTAATTTGCTTCTCTGCAGAATTAGATACAGGAAAGTCCAGAATACTTACGCTCCAAAACACAATGAGCCTCTTTCACCAATATCTTCTTAAGTTTTTCTTAACTGTGTTCTTGAGAAAAGTTCCATGAAAAAGTCTGTCAGGTTTATGACTTGAACTGTTCACACATTTGTGCTCTTGAGCACAAATTCCAAATAAGAAAACAGTGGTGAATATCAGAATATTTGTAAAACTGCATAAGAACAGTTGAATGAGGGCCATTGTTATTGTAACAGACATACAGTGTTTCGATCTGGAATGGTTGTTCAGACAAACACTAAAATCCATATGAGGATGATGTGGTCAGTGTGGCCTTTTTTCAGATGTCTCTGGTTGTTGGTAAAATGTTGTTAATGGATTAATAGTTGTTAATAGTTAATAAAATGTTGTTAATAGATGGGGCTTTTTTCACTACTAACCAAAGTCTGTCAGTGACCACAGCCGCATGGTGCCACCTACCTGGAGGACAACCCCTCTGGCACAGTGAGCTAGACTATTAGAAAGGTGGACAGTAAAAGGCTAAGTTAAAAAACAGAGGCTGGAAGTTGGCTGTTCATGTTAAATTCAAAGCAACATCAGGTCAGTTTCCATCACTCACTGAGCCTGTATTGCGATTATAGTGAGCTAATAATAAAAAAAATGAGCAAATAAAAGAACTTCAAGAAAAAGGCTGCTTCATTTTGACTAATTCTCTCTTCCTTTTTTTTCAGTCCAGCCCAGAAAATGGCCACCTTCAGCATGTTGCGTTTTCAGAGGTGCTTCATATTATTGCTGTCCATAACCTTCATTGTGTCTGTCATTGTGTATGTGTTTGGCATCCGCTCTGAGTCGTCCAAAGTGTGGTTCAGCAACTTCGCCAAGTTAATCACATTCCAAACAGCCAAAAATCACACACTAATGACCTGTCTAACAAGACACAACAAAACAGTCTATCAACAGACGTCTGATGCCAAACACACAGCAGTGAACAGACAAAACGTGACAGACATGCTCAGTATGAAGTCCATGACAGCTGTTCCAGTAAAAGAAGCATCATCCATCTGTTACCATGAAGCGCATCCACACAACTACCGCTTCATCATAGACGAGCCCCGTAAGTGTGAACAAGAGAACCCATTTCTAGTCCTAATGGTCCCAGTGGCTCCACACGAACTGGAGGCTCGCAACGCCATCCGGAGCACATGGGGTAATGAGAGCGTGGTCCAAAACAAAACCATTACGGTGATCTTCTTGCTGGGTCTGCCTGGGATCGAGGCAGAGAAACAACAGGAGGAACTAAGGCTGGAAAGCCAGGAGTACCATGACCTGGTCCAGAGTGACTTCATGGACACGTACCTCAACTTGACGATAAAGACCATGGTAATCATGGACTGGCTGTCCACAAGTTGCCCACAGGCATCCTACGCTATGAAGATCGACTCTGACATGTTCTTGAATCTGGAGAACTTGATGAGCTTGTTGCTGAGACCTGATACGCCTAAAGAAAACTACATGACGGGAAAGGTTATGTGGAACATACCGGTCATCCGGGACAAGAACTCCAAGTGGTACGTGCCAATGGAACTATATGCTGAAGACTACTACCCAACATACCTGCTGGGGATGGGTTATGTCTTCTCCAATGACCTTTCAGAGAAGATTGTTGAGGTTTCGAAAGAAATAAAGCCATTTAACATAGAGGATGCATACGTGGGTGCCTGTCTGGAACGAATAGGAATTTCGCCTTCAACTCCTCCCAATCCCTCCCAGTTTAAGGATTATTTTAGTGGTAAGTATAAACGAGAAGAGTTTGCCAGCGTGATCACCACCATCCTTAACTCCCCACAGCAGCTGATCACATTCTGGAAGGACCTAAAGGGCCCACATGAGGCACTTGGAGCTAAAAGACTCATAACTGGTGATATTTGGGATATATTTGGCTGACATTTTCTTACAAAACTCCTGTATCTTCTCACAATTTAATCAGAACTGAAAAATGCTGCTTCCATAAGTATTCAATCCCTCTAGACTAGTACTTGATGGAACCGCCTTCAGCAAGCAATAACAGCTAAACACCAGCTTTGCACAGTGTTTGGGAGAGATTTTCACCCATTTTTCCTAGTAAATTTGTTGGATGGCGCTTGTGGACTGCAGTTTTCAGATAGTGCCATAGATTCTCTATTCTGTTGGACTTGGTCATTGTAGAACATTCACCTTTTTGTTGTTCAACTACTCCTGTGTTGCTTTGTCCTTGTGTTTGAGGTTGTCTTGCAGTATTTCTCCATATTTTGCACCGTTCGTCCTTCAGTTTTAACAAGATGCCCAGTCCCCACTGAGGAGAAGCATCTTCTCAACATGATGCTCCTCACAACATGATCCTGATGGTGTTTGTTGAGGAGTGAACAGTGTTAGGCTTGCACCACACATAGCACTTTGAACTTTGGCCAAACCTACACAAAACCTTATTCCACATGTTAGCTGAGCAAAGTTTTCCTTCTAGCCACCCTTTCATACAGTGTTGTTATATGAAGGGCTCTTTGATACTGTTTCCTCGCACACAATCATCTGAGTGGTCATATTAAATGGAGATCATTTGGGCTGCAATAAACTCTGCAAAATAATTACCAGTTAATCTACATTAAACATAATGCTTCTTGTTACCACTTGAAAGTGACGATGATGATGGTTTTATTTTGTTTTTTGTGTGTTTATTTATTTATTTATGTTGAGAAGACTTTACATCATGGAGTTAATTTTGTGCCAAATGTTTCAAATAAAATATTAAAATCCACAAGCAAAATATTAACCAAAATATCTAAAATAGGTTGCAAATTCATACAATGAGAGTGTATTACTCCTTTTGGCAGTTTGTTTCTATTTTCTGATTTACATTTTCTGATATATTTTTGGTTTGTGTAATCGCTGTTTTGCATCTGAAATCTTTCTTTTGCTTCTGACTTTTAGCACTTTTTAACAGGGGTGGGTCTTAGAAGAGGGCGTTCACCTGTACTTTCTATTGGTCAACTGATTTGGAGTGACACGTCTACTGAACACGTAAACGCTCAGCATGAACTGCCCCAGCAGGGTATGAGTGCAGTGTTTTACTGGCTTATCCAACATTATGAACATTGTTTATCATATTCCTTTATATTATTAACGTTACATAAGTTAATGGGTCCTGTATCGACCTGGGTAAAATGAGATAACGTAATTTCAGCGATGAAGAACGAAAATAGTTATTTATGAATGAACGAAACTGCACCACCTTTCAAGTTCTCAGAAAATGGACGAAACTGCTTGAATATCTAAAGTTAGTTCACTGTATTAATGTGAAGACAGTGATTTGGAGCAGCAGCGTCCTGTAAACTACTGTGCTGAGACAGGAAGCCTGTTTCAGTGACTGACACTGAGATTCTGTGGGTAGAAACAATAAAAGACTGACAGAACAGTCGTCATAACCCCACAACTTACAGCCAACCATGAGAGTGCTGCATTATTTCCCTCGACCCCACAGCACCGCAGATTCAATCAACGATTTCCTGACCAACACACCTGATCCAGCTCATGAAGGGCTGGATAATCAGTTGCTGAGCTGGATCAGGTGTTTTAATGTAAGGGATAGTTGAAACCGTGTGGAGCTGCAGGGCTAACAAAACCTGATATAAACAGCTGTAAAGCTCACCTAGCTAGTTAGCTTATTAGCAGACACTGCTATGCCAGTACGAAGTGCACATCCATGTCCAGTAAGAGGTGAGTTCAGGACTCTGGACAGCTCCAGGAAAGTGACTCTGTTGGAATCTGAGATAAATTCATAATCTTTAAACTCAGTGAACAGCTCTGATCAATAATCAATAAATCAACACACATAATGATCCAGAGCTGATCTGGAGACTCTTTTACTTCAACAATGGTCCCCAAAAATGAACAAATGCTGCTTTGAGGATTGAAGTGACTCATTAAAACAACATTGAGAGAGGTAAATATTCTTAATAGCAATGTTGTTGTAAAAAATGTTGGTTTTAGAGTAACTGGATCCAAAAACAGACCTTTACTCATATTTTTAATATTATTAATATTTAATATATTGTATATCAGAACTCACAGAAAATCATGATAACATTATACTGTGGGGCTTCTAGTGATTCTCACTGCTAATGACTATACAGGGACATGTTAGTTTATCGTGTTCTTTTTTATTTCTACACAGATGATCTACTTTAACTGTTCAGTTGTTTATCTCCCTCTTTACTCTTTGGTTCACATTAAAGAATAATTTTTTTGAAGAATTATTTATTGTGTAAAAATGATAAACAGTTCAGTGTAAAAAGTGATGATTAGCATCAAAAGTGATTAACTTTAACAATTAATAAGCTTATGAACATCAGAAATGCTATTTTAATAAGGAGTAATTAAACACCTAAACTGGGAATCATTAATCATCATTTTTTTCAGCACTTCTGCATTCAGACTCGGGCCGACTAATCATAGTATTTATAAGTGTCTAAGGTTCTACTAACCACATTTATGTTGTTATTTATGTATTTACTTCTGGGTCCGAGCCCCAAATGAGTAAGCCAGCAGCGACAGTGGCAAGGAAAAACTCCCTCAGAGCAAGAGGAAGAAACCTTGAGAGGAACCAAGACTCAAAAGTGGAACCCATTCTCCTCTGGTTGATACCGGATAGCAAAACAATAACACAATGAGAGCTATTTGAATAAATTAATGATTAATGATTGAGTAATTGAAAATTAGGTGGAATTGCTCTTTAACTGCTGCAAATGCTAACTGTTCTCTGTCCTCCTCTAGTGGCTGTGTGTGACTTTGCTCTGATAGAGGACAACAGCTTTAAGCTTCACTATAAGCAGAGACAGATCATAGCAGAGCAGAGCAACATGGGACGAGCTCTCAAACCAACAGCTGCTTTTAAATGTTTTATTCATTATTTCAAGAATTCTGTTCATTATTTATTATTAAATGTTAAATATACTGTAATGATCTTTTTATAGTCTTTTGGTCTCGAGATTTGATTACTACATCGCAAATATGAAAGATTCATAATTTTTGGTTGTTTACAGGTTTCTCGATCATTTTAGAGCCATTCACAGTTCTGTCCGTCATTCTGACACAGCTAAAATTTCTAATATCACATCTAATGTTACTACTAATTATAATGAAATTACATTTCAAATCTATTTTTACAGCTACAAATAATATAAAGTTGCACAGCACTATAAACACTATATTATGAAAAGCATACAAGGCGACTACAGATCCAGTGGGAGACCTGCAAAAAAAAACACAGTGATGAGACACTGCAAATAGAAATATCTTCAAAATACACTTTACAAATATCCAGATCTCGGGTAACAAAAAATAAGACCCAGAAACAGAAAACATATTGAAATTAACCTTAACCTTCCTCACCTCAGGACACAAAAAGGCAAAAATACAGAAAAACTTAATTGGTTTCCCTTTATGTAATTAGTCCCCAGTAGATGAGACTGTTAACGCACTGAAAAGTAATAGATTCTTAAAAGCTCTGAGGCAGCATTAGGATTTGGACCAGGTTTAGGGTTAGTCAAAGTTATGATGAATTACAAAGATATTTAGTTGAATTTAATAAATTTAATTAGCATTTGGAATAAGCATCTACAGACCATTTACAGTGGGCTATCCAAATAACGTGTTACCACTTAATGATCACAGTGATAATATTCATACTAATAATAACAACAATAATAAAAATAAAAACAAAGCTTCATGCTCTTCACTGTCGGGGCCTCTGAGGATGTTAAGGGACGGGCTCTCCACTGATGTCCACTTCAATGAGAGGAGCGAAGCTTCTCAGTGTTGGTGTGCTGAAGCCCTCAGTGATGCCGAGCTGTCCATCAGGCTGCTCCTCCTCTCTCAGAGTGGGACAGCGGAGTGTCTCCCACAGGCACTGCTTGATCCTGAGGCCAAGCTCCAGACTGTATGCATGGGGCTGTCCAGAGGCCGTGCTGACCATGGAGTCCACCACAGAGGGGTAGATGGTCTGGTACTCCTCTATGGTGTGACCAGGGATCAGCAGAGGGATGGAGCTCTCTTGCAGCACTGCCTCCCTCTCCCTCCTCTCTGCAGTCTAAATCAAGAACAATAAGTAGATTCAACACCTGTTCACTGACACTCTAGAAGTGAGTTACTGAATTTTAGTCATTTAGTCATTTTTTAAGCCACAGGAAACAAGACAGTAGCACTGTTTATTTGTTTTTTACCCAACACTAAATAAACTCACTGATATGAAACACAGTCCTAACAGATGTACTGACATGCACTTCAGACAAAGCGTTCAGAGGAGCTGCATTTTCACAGACAGCGTCTCTACTAACATGGTTCTTATAGCCTAGCTAACAGGCTAACAGGCTAATCCAGTAACATTCAGAATTAGGCTCTAAGTTTAAATATTTAGGAGATTTTACTACAAAACTGCAACATACAAAGTACAGAATATTTTAAATCTATGACTTACCAGATTCAAATGTCAACACTACCATAAATAGTATTACAGTGTGGAAAAATGAAGGTACATCTTCATTAGCTTGGCGCTAACATCCCATAAAAATCCCATAAGCATGCTAATAGAATTTAGCATTATGCTAGCGAACAACAAATGCTATTTACAAAGTAAATGTTTCTGTATTAAATGCTTCTAATTAATGAAATGTTTATGAAAATATGATAAAAACTGAAAAGCTCCTGATCTCAGTGGAGTATTTATGCTGTATGTTAGTATAGACTGTGCTATGTTGGGGAGATGAGAGTCTAAAAAAGCTCCAGGGCTGCTGTGGAAGAGTGGAGCTCCACATGAATGACACAATATAAAATAGTTACTTGTTGGGACTGTTAGGCTACTCTACCCACCTCTGGACCCTGTAGCCACACGCTGAAGCTTGGCCATCTTCCTCCTGCGACCTGTGACCCCAGATGTTACAGAAGAGATTTTGTCAACTTTCACAAACAGCATGAACTCAGTCAGACATTCACTGTTGAATTTATTCACAGAACCCTCAGTTTATAAGAATCACTGTGTTGCTGCTGTTTTCTTCCTCCAGATGAGAATTAAAAGCAGAATTTCTTATTGAATTGAAAGCAGTGAAACTATTATATGTTGTATTTCACATTCTTTTACAGGCAAGTCATTGACTTCATATAAACTCTACAAGTGTTTGCTGCTGGTTTGAAAACATTGAAATCAGTGCAGGAGTTTGAGCTTCTTTTCAATCAGTCGATACAGCA